ACGCAGCTCGTCCAAATCACCAACTAAACTAGTGGGCGGATCGCTTTTGGGGCGGAGTGCTTTCGAAGTCCTGCTCAGCAACCAGCGCACCTTTCGTCGTGAAAGCGCTACACCTCGCTTCCCTGGCAGCCAAGTAACTGCTTCGTGTGGTGCATATGCTTCCCCGATGCGCTCCCTCTTTATCGTAATCGCTGCCTTTAAGGTCCCTACAAGATAAAGGCTGGATAAGCCGGAACAAGCGGTACAATCCAAAAAAAAGACTGGAAATTTTCTCTGGACACACGCTCCACTATTGGGCATCGTGGATCAATCCCTGGCGTAAGTAGAATAAGAGTTATCCCCACCGCAGGTGAGCTATTCCATGGAGCCCTCAAAAGCAGGCGAAGGCTTTGGAGCTAGTGAACCATTCCACTGTTGTCCTATCTACCTCTACGTCCTCTACGCTTACGCTTAGGCGCTATTTCATCAGGTGGGAGGGAGGCAAATATGTGTTAAACAGCACTAGCGCCAGGAACTAATGTCGTGTTCGTCCTAGTGCACCGAATCCTTACACCGAGTTTGGAGTTGATAAGTTCTGCAACAAATCGGCGCATCGGTGCAAAATGGCACCACCTCTAAAACATCTAGTGCCATTTTAGCTACTGCAGCAGCCAGTTATCCTCCAACCATTATTCTGAAAAAGCGACTATTTTGAGAAATCGGGGTTGTGGTAATGGTCGGATAACCCAACGACTTTTCTTAGCTCAGTAGCAACAATTGAAGCTCACTTTTCAGGTTCTGTGCTCCTTGGCAATTTTCGGTATTGGTGTCGGTCGTATGCTGGAAGGCGCAAAATGGGCGATTGGAGTCGAGTTAGCCTACGCGCTTCTGGTGATGGTCGCCGGACTGTCGGGAATTTATGCTGTGCGGCAACGAAGCTATGCAGCTGCTACTCTCGTATTTTGTCTAACAGCATTCAGTGCTATACTTGCAATACCGCCATTCATCATGGGTAGGTTCAAGTTTTTGTACTATTGAAGCAAGAAAGAAATAAATCGGAAAAATCCACTGGTTTGCTGGAAGTGAACGGATCATCTTACTTCGGCACCCAACCCTCAGGAGAGCAGTTGGATGAAGTGCACGTGGAAAACGCCCTATCAGCGCAATAGCTAACAGAGCTGGTTGATCGCGATGCTCCTTTTCAGAACTAAATATAAGCTTGAGGTGCGAATTTGAAGTGCCTCGGGAGTCCATGAGAGCCGCTAACGACTCTGCTCACTCCCTTCTCTGCATTTTGAGCAGCAGTCGCAGCTGGATCCATGTTGTTATTAACGGGGTGAAAAAGGGCGAGAAAAAAGTGAAAGAAAGCTTCACATACGTAGTGTTGCTGAACAGAAAACTCACCTTGGAAAGCCGCTATAACGGACTTGGACATATGCCAACGCCATTGATCCCCTTTTCCATTTTCCGCCCACTTGCTAGCGAGAGATTCGCGTGATCGGCTGCGGGCCTTGCGCGCAGCGGGTCAACTGTCACGCTGGACAAATTTCAAAGAGTTTTCCCTCCTGGAGGCTCATCGATACGACCCCCCTTGTCACGTTTACTTCACCTTCCTGAAAAAAGGCGCTGCCAGTAGTGGCCTGCACAGCATCCCGTGCTAAATACGTCGCTTGAGGGGATCCCGTCGCTGAGGGGGAGCTCCGCCTCCAAGTGTCGGACTCAGCCGACGATTGGTTAATTGTGGGGAGGTTGCGGTTTGCCGCATCAGTCAAGGCGCGATTGCTGCTGTCATGACATCAGCCCAAGGATTGAGCTGTTCCAAACGGCCCCTGTTTTGACCGCTGTCTCGTCCACAGAAAAAATTGGGCAGGATGGGAGGCCGCTTTGTCGCGGTTTTTCTTCACACCTGCACCATTCGTCACCTCTATCTCTCATTTTGAACTCCACCAGTTTATTGCACCATCTGTCTTTAAGTTAAGAACATCTCCAATTCCACCTTCCAATGGATACTTCCTATGTAATTTGCAAAAGAAAATTAGATGAGTGAATGAATGAAGCAATTTTAGCTGCTTCCTGATTTTCCTGAAGATGAAGTGTTTCAATCGATTAATAAGAAAGGACTGAAAAACGCTCAAATAATTTCAGGCCTTTTCCCAACAATACCATGGGCATTCACAGAAACTGCTCCAGCGACATGGATAAACAAACGAGAACCATTGGAGTTGGATTTCGGACTCAGCCTTGTCATTCTCATTCAGGTTAACTTCAACTATGAGCTATTTTTTAGCGTTCTTGAAAGCTTCAGAAGCCGAATTCAAACCTGAACCCCACATATTACATGCGCTTGGCCACATGCTTGGAGACGGCGACTAGAAAGATCGTTGGTTCAGGCGATTCGACTACATATTAATGAACCTTTTTCTTCACTGGCGTTACCTTCTGCGAATCTTGGCTGATTATGAAGCTAGCTTCTGCTCGAATGCGATCCTCTTCACTAAAAACAATAATGGAATCCTTGTTTCAAGGGTGATGTGAGAATGCTCGGCTATATCTCCAGCGCATTTGGGCGTAGGATCAGTCGTCTGCTGTGCGAATTTGAAAATTACCAAGGCCTACTACCCTCTAAAAGGGGGGGAGGTCCACGATGAAGATGTTGGTCGAAGAACGGAAACTTATCTAGCAGAAAGACGGGCGGAACGCTGAGGGTGCGGACTGACACGCAACTCCAGGGAATGGATGTGCCCGCGACGCTCTAGCATGACCCTTCCCGCGGCGCTATCAACGTGACACACTCACCAACTAGCTGAACACACCGTTGCGGATCTCTATGCGTTTAGCAGAGAGGGCGTTAGCGATGAAGAAGGCAGAGTCGCATCAATGCGGAAATCAACGGGCAAGGAAGGGTCCCATTTCTCGGGTTCTGGGCCGTTTCTCATGGTTTTTCTTCATCCCGGCACCACTGACCACCTCTACCTTAATTCTAATAGGCTGCCTTCTGATCGTAACTCCGCCTTTAAGAGGT